CCGGAATCGTCAGTGCTATAATACTGAGCCATTGGTTACGAAGAGATTTCTATAGAGAGCTCTGCGATGACTAATAGTTAACACATCTTCTAATATATTGATTTAGTAATCTGTTGATTTCACTGAGAAACACAGAAACTGCATTTCGCTTTATTCTTAACAAATCCCATCAGCCTCTCTTTATATGCATATTTATTATCTAAGTTATTTATTTATCATTGCTCATTCATTTTCCAATCTTGCACTGTACGGTGGGTGATGTCACTCAGTTACGCATTTCCCGGTCTGACTGAGATTAGTGGGAGTTATATTCCTAGGTGACTGTTGCTCTAAGGAGTTTCTACCATCTTAAATCAGACCTTTCTGGATAGTGACATGCTGCAGAGGAGACAGAAAAAGCGCAGTGTCTCCCCAGGTCATCTCCCAGCATATCTGTACTGGGGGGCAACTCTGAATTAACCTTCAGGCTAGTTGGGCCATATATGCCGCGGTGACGGCCTAAGGAGGCACAAGGTGGGCTTAGAAGGCTACAGCCCCGAATGTGGGGCTCCTATTTGGGATTGTCTTTGTGTCAGTCAGCAGCCTTTAACACGTCAGTAAACTTCATATATGAAATGCTAAATCCCCTATTATTTTACTGAATAACATTGCTGCAGCTCCACACACAAATACACCAGGCATATTACTGGGAGTTTTATTGCTATGGAGCTCAGTGATACACATTGCTGTGAGTTTTATTGCTGTGAAGCTCTGTGATTCACATATACACTGCCCATTACTGTGCGTTTTATAGCTATGGAGCTCTGTGATACACTCATACACTGCACACTACTGAGAGATTTTTTGCTGTGGAGCTCTGTGATAAACTCATGCACTCTGCTCATTACTGTGAGTTTTATTACTATGGAGCTCTGTGATACCCCTATACACACTGTGCATTACTGTGGGTTTTATTGCTGTGGAGCTCTGCGATACACTCACAACTCAAACCTTGGTTATTTTATGATACTGTGAATTACTTGGAATTAATTTATGAACCAGACAAATCAATGTTTCATCGGGTTCCTTTACAATTTCAGCTGAATGGTTATTGTTAAAGGATTTGTAGAAGTAAAATGTCAATATTGTTAGTTTCCTTGTGCGTATGTGGGATTGGGAGGCACTTTGGGCTGATGTCCCTGGTGTTTGGTAACCTTGTAATATTCCTGTATATATCTCTACTGCTGGAAATATAATATGAAAATAAGCACAGCACCACCAGGCTTCACAAAGCTACATGTCTCATACACAATGACGGGAGTAAGAGAGTAATTAAAGCCATTCTCTAGTGTACAGTTCTGAGTGTCATAAATACACATCGTAATATTCTATTCATTAGAATGCAGAGATTGTGCTGTGTGAGCGACGTTATTCTACATTGTAAGAGTGCGTAAACAATAAACATATCATGGACTGCGACTCCTTTCACTCTCAGCCAGGCAAACTGTGTTTTTCTCTTCAACTACCTCATATGCTTTATTGTCTAGACTCGGTATCCTGACTGAGTAAAGAATCCTTATCAGGCCAATTAAACCATTATTTTAAAGAACAGAGCTGTGATGTCACCACTGATCGCAGCTACATTCACAGCGAACGCTTCAATAGAATACCAGAAAAAACTCCTGGCACTTTTAGAATTGGTGTGGATTCAAGATTAATTGAAAGTGAATTTCACATTTAAGCTCAAAATATATGATCTGGAACCATAGTTGAATTTTTATTTTTTGGCTTTAAAGGACCACTATAGTGCCAGGAAAATAAACTCGTTTTCCTGGCACTATAGTGTTAATAGGTCCCCCACCCTCATGGCCCCAATCCCGCCTGGCTGAAGGGGGAGGAAGGGGTTAAACACTCACCTTTCTCCAGCACCAGGCTCCCTCGGCGCTGGGGACTCTCCTCCTCCCTCCACTAGAGGCTGGATTAACCCATTTGTAAACATAGTTTCTATGAAACTGCTATGTTTTCAGCTTCAGGGTTAACCCTAGATGGACCTGGCACCCAGACCACTTCATTAAGCTGAAGTGGTCTGGTTGCCTATAGTGGTCCTTTAACTGTGACATTTGGTCACTTAGTAAATAATTCTGAAACGGCGGGTGCTTTTCTGGTATTCTAGTGACATGTCTGTCTGTGATTGAGGCTGCGAATGTCAGGCTATATTATTTAAACTGTAACCATAGCTGAATGTTTCCAGTTGGTCTATTTTGGCCTAATTTGTGGGGGGAAAAACCAACTTTGAATTCACTAGAAATTCCCAACAACTCTCAGTTTAGTAAATAACAGTGTGTGTGTACAGTAAGGCAAGCAGAACTTTGCTGAGACCAGTTAGTTATCCGGCTGACCTGCTCACTCACACAGCTCAATAAACAGTCATTTTGTGGCTGGTAAGCGTTCCGGTTTATTATCAAATATAATGGTTTATAATGGCATAAATCATATGAAACTAATGCAGTTAAAAGCTGGTAAGTGTAGCGGAGCTGCAATATTAAATCCCAATATCTCCGCTGGTAGACGAAAGTAATCCAAAGAAAGCGCTGAAAGAAGGCAATCTCCCAAATCCCCCAGTAACCGGACAAAACAAAGTTCTGGGAGATTTTTATTCACAAGCTCCAGTATTTATGCGATTTCCCCATGCAAGGGGTTTCCTTAATTACTTTACAGGGGTCATACAGTAGGGGACTACATGAGGAACTTAACATACAGGACATTTCTCCCACCATGCACTGCTGTACAAGAGGGATACTCCCACAAGAATATCCTGCTAAATGGATTATCCCTCCGTACAGCAGAACCGGCTTTTCACATAAAAATCTGTAACTGGTATAATATTCGTGCCAATGTACCGAATGACCGATCGGCAGATAGCTGGGGTCTGAGCGCATACTTCGTGCAAGTACCGCTCAGATCCCAGCACAATTAACTGAATGCTGCACAAAATACATTGTAACATCAACTCTTCATAAAAGTCACAAATGCATAAGTGGGGAAGAGTACCGAAAGATTGGCGCTCCCGAATGGCCTGGAAGTCCAGCGGTGTTCGTGTCGTCGAGTAGCCGATTTTAGTTCCAGACACTCGACGACCAAACACCGCTGGGCAAAAAGGGAATCCAAGATGGCCACCGCCTCGTGGTCGGTATCGGAACGACGGCCACTCTGGGAATCAATTAGATACATTGTTGCAATCGGTTAATGGGAGCCACACGACCCCCTGTGTGTGGGCTCCCATTCGGTATTTTGTTTCACGAACAGTGTGGAAAATCACTGTTCGTGAAACTACCATATGAATGCTAGCGGCTTTCGTGCCACTAGCATATGAATTCCCACACATTTAAAGCGAACACATCAAACACCATATATAAAAACAGTATCTCCAGGGCAACCCTTAGATATAAAGAACAATAGTCTTAGGTGGCTAGGTTTGCCACAGTGAGTACTTTCAGTATAATGTAATACAGGTTGCTTACAGGATCATGCAGAGTTGCAGCAGTCGAGACAGGTAAGTAGATTCCAGTATAATGTAATACAGGTTGCTTACAGGATCATGCAGTGTTGCAGCAGTTGAGACAGGTAAGTAGATTCCAGTATAATGTAATACAGGTTGCTTACAGGATCATGCAGAGTTGCAGCAGTTGAGACAGGTAAGTAGATTCCAGTATAATGTAATACAGGTTGCTTACAGGATCATGCAGTGTTGCAGCAGTTGAGACAGGTAAGTAGATTCCAGTATAATGTAATACAGGTTGCTTACAGGATCATGCAGAGTTGCAGCAGTAGAAAATAAGAGTTTCAGGAGGATTCCGGCGACGGGACACACGGAGTCTCAATAGAGGATCAGGATGTTTTCAGGAGCCAGGATCAGAAGTTCTATGTCAGAACACTGACTTCAATACAAAGGCCATGAGAAGAGTTGGGTGTGGCTTTTTATAGCAGACTTGGAAGATCATATGAAGCAGGTGAGAGAAACTGAGGATTGACTAGTGGCTAGGGAGGCCACTAGAGGCGAGAAACAGGAATTGCAGCAATAAAATAAAACATTTTCTTGGTTGTCAGGATAGGATCCTGACACCCAATGCCCAGTGACATTAGGGAAGATACCCGATACCCAGTGACATTAGGGAAGATACCCGATGCCCAGTGACATTAGGGAAGATACCCGATGCCCAGTAACATTATGGAAGATACCCGATACCCAGAGACATTAGGGAAGATACCCGATGCCCAGTGACATTAGGGAAGATACCTGATGCCCAGTGACATTATGGAAGATACCCGATGCCCAGTGACATTAGGGAAGATACCCGATGCCCAGTGACATTAGGGAAGATACCTGATGCCCAGAGACATTAGGGAAGATACCCGATACCCAGTGACATTAGGGAAGATACCCGATACCCAGTAACATTATGGAAGATACCTGATGCCCAGTGACATTAGGGAAGATACCCGATACCCAGTAACATTATGGAAGATACCCAATGCCAAGAGATATTAGGGAAGATACCCGATACCCAGTGACATTAGGAAGATACCCGATGCCCAGTGACATTAGGGAAGATACCCGATGCCCAGTGACATTAGGAAGATACCTGATGCCCAGTGACATTAGGGAAGATACCCGATACCCAGTAACATTATGGAAGATACCCGATGCCCAGAGATATTAGGAAGATACCCGATGCCCAGTGACATTAGGGAAGATACCTGATGCCCAGTGACATTATGGAATATACCCGATACCCAGTGACATTAGGGAAGATACCCGATACCCAGTAACATTATGGAAGATACCCGATGCCCAGAGATATTAGGGAAGATACCCGATACCCAGTGACATTAGGAAGATACCCGATGCCCAGTGACATTAGGGAAGATACCTGATGCCCAGTGACATTATGGAATATACCCGATAGCCAGTGGCATTAGGGAAGATACCCGATGCCCTGCGACATTGTGGAAAATACCCGATGCCCAGAGACATTAGGGAAGATACCCGATACCCAGTGACATTAGGAAGATACCCGATGCCCAGTGACATTAGGGAAGATACCCGATACCCAGTGACATTAGGAAGATACCAGATGCCCAGAGACATTAGGGAAGATACCCGATACCCAGTGACATTAGGAAGATACCCGATGCCCAGAGATATTAGGGAAGATACCCGATACCCAGTGACATTAGGAAGATACCCGATGCCCAGAGATATTACCACTGCTACTAAATTACTAATCAGTGAAGGACTTCCACTAGGGACATAATGTCTGATCACTGGCATGACAGAGATAGACAGACATCCAGACAGACAGACAGATTGATTAATTCTGTTTTTTTACAGCAATTTAGAACTTTTTCTTTTTCATTTTTTGTATTTCTCTGAATCAACATTAGACAAGACTTTGTGTAAACTTGGATATGTGTGTGGCTTTCAGTACCGGTAATTATTCCACTCTACTAGCATGTTACATTTTTAGGATTCATTTGTTACGCAGTCTGTTAGAATTTCACACATTACTCCATTAGCAAATCTGGGATTTTATATTGCAGATATTTCACCGTATAAATATATCTGTCTCGCTATCCATAACCTCACCACACAGAGTATCTGTTTAACTATTTGCATACATCATACAGCATTAACCCATATTGTATTGCCTGTGCATCGCAGGGAATCTTGAAACCAAGCGATATCTCTGTGTATTCTTCAAGGTAAAAGAAAAACACTTTGTAAATAAATAAAACAGAATAATTTCCAGCAAACTCCGTTTATACTCTGTGCATGTTGTTCAATCATAAATGTAACGGCCCAATCCACTGCTATTACCTAGTCTTTGTCCTAACAGGTAATAGCCACATAGAATTCTCATTTTCCGGAACCCGCTGGGATTGCACAAATCCATGAATATGTCTGAAAAGAACTCTCCGCATCCAGTAGATGAAGTTTTCTACATAGATCTCTGTGTCTGAAACTAACCGATAGCTCGCTGGAATATTTATAGGAAATAATAAAATCGATCAGACTCCGCTGTTAATATATCATTAATTCTAGCCTTGAGATGCGAGATTTGGCATTTTGTCTTTTTTCCAATTTACAAACATCTGGAATTTAGAGCCAGGATTGCATCTCGGAAACTATTTGTACTGTGAGAAAGGTAAACGCTTATTAGGGAGTTAAGAAATGCCCTATAAATAATTAAACACATACAAAAGGCAGCAATCTCTAGGAGATGATCATTTTAGATTAGAAATGATCAAAGTCTTCTTAGTGTCGGGTTGATTAGAAAGCACCAACATATTGTGCAGAGCTGTACAAGGTATGCAGAAGGATACAAACAAAAAACAAACTTGATGTTTAGGTGATCATCCCCACCACTTAAACCAAAAAGTATAAGTGCAGTGCTTATGGTATTTAACACTTACCCCTCAAAGTACATGGGGAATTATCAACACGGGAAAAATATATATATACAAGTAGTGCAATATTGTTTCAGAATATAAAAAGAGTGTTAGAAAAACTCACATTTGTTAGAGCCTTTTGTCGATATAGGCTCTAAACAAAGATGATGTATGGGCCTTTAAGGTGGCACCTACTACCTTCTTCTATGATGAGAGAACTTCACAGTACTCCTCCACAATGGATATATAGAGATAGAAACACAATGGCAGAAATCTAGGTATAGACTGTGTACATATATTGAGGTTATTGCTCACCTTCCTAGGAGCCTGTTTAATAACTGACTCCAAAATATATACGTTTAATTTCAATTTCCAGGGTGACACTTCCCTGCTAGATATAGGATATAGATTTGCTGATAATGATGAAGAACTTAAACAGAACTGCCAATAGAAACGGGATTTATACTAAATAAATGAATAGGTAGATAAAATATAACCATATATAAAAATAAATAAAACAATAGCAAGTCCTTTTAACAGCTTTACAGGAACACTCCAAACACCATAACTACTATATGACACAGTGGGTATGGTGCCAGGCCAGGGGAACACCACCTGGACCTGATGGAGCACCAAATTACAAGATGTACAAACCAATAAACACTCCCACATACAGCAAACAATCCCTCCCCTCTGCCTGTGATATAATTAAAGTAGTTAATACAATAACCGAATTATCCACAGGCAGAAAAACACACATTTTCCCCAAAGTACAGAAAACACCCCAAAACATAACATGTCCCCATTACATCCCCTGATAGAGGTTCAGGAAATTCCTGGATGTCTCTTTTGACTGACCACACGCATGATTTCATACCCACAACAGTTCCAGGGATTAGGCTGTGCGGCAGGTCTATTTTCAATGTCTAAGTTCAGTTTGCATAGTCGAACGGGAACCTTTCGTGCACATAGTCAATGTTAAAGTGACGTTGGAATTGTCGAACACCGTTCGACTCTCGTCGAAGAAGTTGAAGTTGCCTGGAAGGTAAAGTTCAGCGGTGTTCGTGCCGTCGCGTGTCCGAATTGAGTTCCATGAACTCAATGACAAAACACCACTGAACACGTTTAACTAAACAAGATGGCCGCCGCCACGTGTTCGACTATACGAACAGCGATCACCCAGCCGTTCATCAATTTGGCTGCAGTTAACTAACAGCTTGGGTGGTAAATAGGCTGCACACTCCACTTGTGTGTGTGGTCCGGCTGTTCGGTGGTTCAAAGTGGCACTTCAAACTATTTCGAAAGTTTGAAGAACAATTGTTTAAAGTCCCAAACAGGCATAACCACAGTAACTTAAAGGGGCCATAGTCACAGTGTAAAAGGCTGGCAAGTAGTCCCCTCCAAGAACTCGTAGTTCAAATTCAGCTAAAAAGGGGAGTTTGCCACAGATACAACCTAGAAGATTTGCAAGAAGCATTCCAACGAACAGTTAATTCATGTATACGCAGGTAGGACGAGAATCCAGGGAAATATTCGGCTGCTTCTTACATCAAATTAGAGATTTTTTATTTTGTTCCTCTGGATTAACATCTAATAGGGATTTGTGGAAACTTTAATATATGTGTGTATGGTTTGTAACTGTAATTATTATGTTACATTTTCAGGACTAATTTGTAAACCAGTCTTCGTTAATATTTCACACATCACTGCGTGAGCAAATATGAGATTTTTTAATGTAAATATTAATATGTCCAAAGAATCAGTGGAAACATGATAAATAGGTGTTTGTTTTATTTGTTAATATGTTTGCCTTTTCCTTTAGGGAATATGTTAATTCAACAAACAAATATCTTGTGTGTAGAGCCTCAATTTTCTTCACCTGACCATTTTGGAGACACTAGATTTTATGGATCACATCAAAAAAATGCTAAAAATACCACATAGCCCAGATTACATCTTGCTAGCCCAAGCAATGGAGCGGTGGCTGAAGGCATTTGCCAAAAAACAATGTTTGCTGTATGGCATGCCTAAAGACCTGTAGCGATACGTACCCGGTCCGCATGCGGCTCAAACACTCTTGGCTCCTGGTCGGCTACGTGCGCCGAACAGCATTAACGCTGCTCGCGTCGCACATTATGGGTCGCAGGATGTGACCTGCACCAATCAAATGAAACCCAGTATTATTTCAACTTTCCTGGCCCTAGATACTGTGCCCTATTGTGGTTTCTGTTCCCAGTACCCTTTAGTGCGTTCCTTGAATATTTTGTATTGTATTCTATTATTGACCTTGGCATTGTTTCCTGATTCTGAGTTTATCTTTAACCCTTTACTGTCTTGTTTGACCTTCTGATTATTACCATGTACCTGACTCTGGCTAGTTCTCGTTTTCGCTGTCTCTCTGTTACCCTGACCTCGGCTTGCATCGTAACTACGCTTAACGTTAGACAGAGAGTAAAGTCAGGCCACACCTAGGCCCGGTAATCCGTTTATTTTCCTTTGTCTGTCCCTTGCTATCCTAAACTCTGCGTGTTAGTGTTATACCTCGTGACAAGACCCCTTTCTATATGTGCATGGATGTGGGATTAAAGCACCACAACTACTTCATCTGAATAAAGTGCTATGAAAAGCATTGAATAGAACAGAGAAAAGGTCCGCCATCAGTGGGTAACAGCCAGTAATCCTGTAAGTAGACCACATAGTGAGACTCTAGCAGACCGTGAAATGGTGTCTTGTCTGTAATAAGAAAGACGCAGCGGTGGAACTACAGGGAGTGCTGGTGTTGCGGTTACACCGGGGCCCATCTAGTGGTCCGTGCAATTAGGGCCACCTAATGGGCATGTGTTTTCAGGGGCCCAAAACCGTTTTTGTACCAGGGCCCTCTCTAAATTAGTTCCACGACTGTGCAGCAGCTCCCTGGCCCTGCAAGATCACCTCCCCGTACACAAGCTCCGCCCCCATTCTCTGACTGACTGACACGCACACTGACAGACATACATACATTCTGACAGACATACAGTGACAAGCACACACTCTCTGACTGCACCCATGCACTTAGTGCCACCCGTGGGTATTTCTGAACAGGGGCCCAGTCATGCGCAGTGGCCCTTTAACAGTGTAAGCAGACCCCTGCAATAAAATAAAGTGAGAGCCTGGCCACTTCCTCCCAGATACAGGAGGAGAGGGAGAGACCCAGCTTCAGACAGTCCCACACTCCCATCAGACAAAAAAGAAAAAAAAATATGACGTGTGTATCTAGGTATGTGTGTATCTGTGTGTCAATGTGTCAGTGTGTGTATATGTGTGTCAATGTGTGTGTATATATTAGTGTGTATATACACGTGTGAACTGTATGTATATGAAATTTAAATAAAGGTACAGCGCACACAAAAATAAAATTTTTAATTTTACAAGACTACTTAAAATCACCAATCTCAGCAAACAAATATGGGGGTTCAGTTCCACCATATGGACATATTGTGTTAAGCCCACCACTACGTCACTAGTGGCATAGCCCTGTAAAATGTAAAACGTTATTTATATGTGTGCGCTGTTCCTTAATCTGTATTTTGTATAAATGTGTGTTTCTGTGTGTGTCAGTGTGTTTTTTATCTGTGTGTCTGTGTGCCTGTGTGTGTGTTTCATCCGTTCTCAATGTGTATGTGTACCTGTGTAAATATGTATGTATATGTGCATACACCCCATTAATCAAACGCCAACAATACATGCTAACACACCCTTCAAATCAAACGCAAACATTACATACAAACACACTCCTGCACTCAAACGCCAAAAGTATGTACAAACACAAGAAGTTTAAATTGATTTTTTTAAACTATGTTTTATTTAACAGACGTGGAGCCCTAAA